TAACAAAAATTCTTGTCTGACAGACACTGATCTCTGGAGGAAGATAATATTTTACCATTAAGAGTGATGTCTGCTGTAGTACTTTGTAAATATCTTTATCAGGTCATATTTGAGAGCCTTACTTTTATCCCTGGATGTAGTCCATTGACAGAAAGTAGACCTCTGATTTTTAAAAACCCAGTATTATGAACTTTATCTTTTAACTACATTAAGCCCATTTTTATTTTATATCATTGCTGACTTATGTTTATATCTGACGTATTATTTTGTAACTTATTTGTCCTACCTATTCTGTTCATTTTTTAATATCTAGCTTCCTTTCTAATTCACATTTTTACTTATCCCATTTTCATAGTTGTAGTGGTTTATATATATTAGAAATCCCAGCAGCAGACTTGCAACCTTTTGTAGCCCTGGGAAGGGGTCTGCATCGGCTTCTGTGGCTCTTCTTTTCTGTGACTGAGAGTCCTACTATAGCTCCTGGCTTCACACATGGAGTTTACCATAGATAGAATCTAAGGATTCTATCTCACTTGGAATCCTTAGTTTCTATTACCTGGTAAACCTGAACTCCCACGTACTCTGCCTGATTTTGAACACAGAGACCAGTATGTATGTGGCTTAAGCCTTGCTCACACTTGGAGTTTCTTCTGCATGTTGATCCATGTAAATGTTTATGTTTTTCCCCATCTATGTCTTTAAAATAAATTTTATACTTTATTTGTAGTTTATCTATCTCTGTTTAGAGAAGCGGTGTGTCTCACAACTTATAATAGCAATTTTTACCTAGCTGGAATTTCTAACTTAATTTCTACTGTCTGAATTTGTATAGCCCTAATCCAGACTAGAGATAATGGTGGCTTAGACTATAATGGTGGCAGGAGGGAGAAGTTTATCCATTTGAGATATGCATATTTTATATCAAATTTTATAATAGTCTGTGAATGAATATGGGTGGCGAGGTACCCAGGAGTTTTAAAAAAATATCTTTCAGACTTGGTTTGAGAATTTGGATAGATTTAGCATAATTTATTGAAGTAGGAGAAACTTCGATTTTTTGGAGTTGCAATTCAAGAGTTGACTTGTGAACATGTTGATATGAAATATTGGTGAAACACAAAAGTGGATATATCAAGCAGATTGTTGGATACATGAGGGGCTGAGTACAAAACCTAGGCTAAAGACAAAATTGGGAATTGTTAGCTTATAAATGGTATTGTAAGTCATTCTCCCTGGTTGATGCTTTTTTGCTCTAGTCTATTAGGTTGACTTTTTGCAGTCAGTCACATGTGTTTACTAATTCTGACCCTAGGAACTGAACTTCCAACCTTCTGTGTACAGAACCACCTCCTCCATTTTATATGATTCCTGAGTTTTCACTTATTCAGTTATTTTTTAAACATTTAAATGGCAAAGAAGCAAGAGTGACTCATAACTAAGTCCAGTGAACATTGACTGACTCATCATTAAGAGATGGCTATAGGACAGAACAAGGAGGTTAATCCAGGTTAAAGTTAGGCTGGAACTTTTGTTCTCATTTGTTAGAATTTTTTTAACAGTACTTGAGTTATTGTACATGCATTTTTTTCTTTCAAATAGAAATTCAAAGTTCATGTAAAGTATTTTTTCAAAAATTTAAGGCTTTGTCACATACCAGACTCATTTTAAATATAAAGAGCCATATTCTCAAGAATTTATTTAATGACTTAGTTTCTGAAAATGAGTAAATCAATAATTTATTGATAATAAGGAGAAGTCAAAATAAGATACAGATATCTGTGTTGCTTCAATGGAAATATGTCTTAAGAAATGCATTATGAGGTGATTTCATCATTGCATGAACAAACCTGTACAACATGTTGCTGTAATGAACACTGCAGGCAATTGTAACACAATGGTAAGTATTATATATCTAAATTTATTTACTCATATAAAATGTAGAGTAAAAGTGTGGTTTTAAAATTAAACAATGGTATACCCATATTGGCCACTTACCGTGAATGGAGCTTGGGGAACTAGAACTTACTCTGAGTGAGTCAGTGAGTGAGATTTGAGTGAATTTGAAGGCCTAGGACATTGTTGTATGTGACTGTAGACTTTAAAAATACTGTAAACTTACCCTACAATGAATTTATAAAAAATATTTTTATTCAGTAAATTAGCTTACTGTAACTATTATCTTATAAATGTTATTTTTTAAACTTTTTGATTCTTTTGTAATAACAGCTCAAAACGTATTGTATAGCTGTACAAAAACATTTTATTTCTTTATATATGTATTCTATAAGCTTTTTCTATTTTTGCTTTAATTTTTTCTTTTTTACTTTTTAAACTTTCTTGTTAAAAACTAAGACACAAGCACACACATTAGCATAGGCCTCCACAGGGTCAGGATGATCAATATCACTGTCTTCCAACTCCACATTTTGTCCCACTGGAAGATCTTCAGAGGCAATAACATGTGTGATGCTGTCATCTTCTATAATAACAATACCTTCTTCTACACTACCCCCTGGAGGACCGGCCTGAGGCTGTTTCATATTTAACTTTTAAAATATAAGTAGAAGGAGTACACTATAAAGCAACAATAAAAAGTGTAGTATAGTCAATATATAAACCAGTAACATATTTATTTATTATTATCAAATATGCACTATACATAATTGCATATCATATACTTTTATACAACAGGCTTGTTTACACCAGCATCATCACAAACATCTGAGTAATATGTTGTGTATTGACATGATATTGGCTATGGCATTACCAGATGGTAGGAATTTTTCAGCTCCATGAAAATCTCTTGAGACCACAGTTGTATATGCGTTCCACCATTCTGTGGCTCATGACGGCATATATTCTGTACCTACTTATATTCAAATTATCATTAGTAACAACTGCCAACATTCATCTAATCAGATAGTCGGCCAGTTTTCAAACTAATATGTAAAAAATAGAATATTGACATAGCCTTAGAAATAGAGCAATTTCAGAATGTATAACTTTGCATTTCATCATTCTAATGTAATCATATTCTCAGTGTGTGAGACAAAATAATGTGGAACTTCATAGTTATGTGTAGGTATATTTGATACTTTCAGCTGCCTTCCCTAAAAGAAATAAAAAAGAGACTGAAGAAACAGAAAATGAAGGTTTCTACTAGAATAGAAACACTAATATCTGAGGGAAAAAAAATGTATCTGGTTCCATATAGTTGAATATAATGTCTTTTATTCTAAGTGTTAGACCACTCCTTAACAGTGCAGTGCTTCAGACCCCAGATTTCCCTACTGTCTACTTCATGACTAATACCACATTTTTATAAATCAGTATCAATAAGTGAAAAATGAGGAGACTTTCTGTTGTTTTAAAATACGTCATAAAAGAGCCAAATCATCTTCACAGGAAACTATTAGTTTGATTTCCTGACCTGATTTTCCATTTCTGACATGCAAAGCTGCTCCTTGGTTCACTGGTGCTATGCCTGAATCAGTCCTCTGCCGAGTCTTTGCTACCAAAAGTGAAAGTGTCAAGGCACTTTAATAAGTGCCATTATAATGAACAAGCAGTCTCTGGACTCTGTGCTTTAAAAATCCTATAAACAGACTTTGACTGCAGTCTTTTAACTCTCTGTTAATTAAAGTAAGGACCAGCTGAATGAAATGAGAGGTGGATTATGGAGGCAACTATAATTTTGTTTTCTTTTTCCCCCTCCCTTTCCTGCTCCAACCTATGTCAAGGGTAGATAAGCTATAATTGTAACAGAGATCTGGGCCACTTAATAAATGTTTAATTACATTCAGATCTCTTCACTAAGCTCATGAGTTATTGTCAGCCAGTTAATAAAACATTAATTAAAAAGCATATTCGTAGAGGTGAGGATCATTTTCATGTGACAAGTTTCTACCTGCTTTTAGAGCCCTAATAGAGAGTCTCAGCTAATTAGCATCATTTCACAAAATACCAGATCTTCGTGTCATTTAATAAAATACATCTCATGACAGCAGCATAGAATGTAAAGGAACAGTTCTGTAGAGGTGGCATCCAAATTGGTTGTGTGGCTGGAAGTTACGAAAGAAAGAAGATATAGGAGAAAGTTTTAAAACCCTGAGTGAAAGAAAAAATGTATAAATTCAAAACAGTTTTCTTGCCTTTTTAATATATTTTATAGAAAATGTGTCTATAAATACTAGATGAGTTTTTGTATTTCCTGGAATTCCTCTTTCTTTACATCCTTTTCCCAGATAATTCTAATTTTACATATTTGTGATATCAGAAATTCAACAAAATGCTGCTATAAGATATTGCTTTTTTAAGGTTGTGATGTTGAAATAATAATGCATTTAAAATTATAAACATATTTTGCATGTCTACCAAGGGAATGTCACTGTTCTAGCGCTTAAATTTTAATTTTAATATTGTTCATAAAATTGTGCAGCTTTCGTGTTGCAGGACTAGAACAAGATCCTCTATCTCGTGGTGATTTACACTCTTTATATTTTGGAAAATATACACATTATACAGGTGCACTGAATTAATTGCTCATTTAACAACTTTTTTAATTTTTAAGGAAAATTTTATATTATTAGCTAATCACTACTCAAGATATCCTACATTTTTAATAATGATTAGTAGTTATGGTAATAATGAATGCTAAAATGTAGCTGTACTTATATCAGATATTTGTTATGCTTTGTATGTATCAGGCAGTATTTTGGTGCTGTATAATCATTGCCTGATTTAGCTTTGAAAATTTCCCCATTTTAAAAATGAGGCAACCGAAGCAGAGAGCAGTTGCATAACTGGTCTAAGGTCAAAGAGACAATGCACATCCAAGCTTGGATTCAAATTTAGGCGTATCTTTATTCCAAGCTAATGCTTTTAGCCACCACACTCCACTGCTTTAAAACAAACAAAAAAATGAAAACACGTTATGAAGGAAATATTTTTTATAACTACAAATTAATCAGTAACTTTTGTTCTTTGTATTCCCAAAACAGGTCATTGTGTGAAATGATGAAATGCATCTTCATAAGAAAGTGCAAGAACTTGAATTTGAGAAGAAAAATATAAAAGGAAAAATATTCTAGAGTCAGATATGGAAATCACTGTGTCAGATTATGAAGCTGGAATTTATTCTTTGAAAAATAGAAGAAAACAAGATAAACAAAATGATGAAGAATGCATTGCTGCTGCTTTAACAATACTCAGAGATGTAAGTTTATTACACACATGTACTAGTATGTAAAGATCATGTCCACGTGGTGTTAACAGCCCCAGAATTTTGTGTTCCTGGTCAGACTCACTCTTCCTTTTACTCCGGCCATCACAGCCTTATTACTACCTTGTATCTTGGCAATACAAGTGCAAATTCCATTCTGCTCTTCATTCTTGCCTACATCAGTCTAAAACTCCAATGTCATCCTATAGCCCTAGACTCTTATATTCTGTACATTGCCTATTATCAACCCACATCCTGGCTCATTCCAACTCCTGAAACCTTTCCACTGTGGCTTAGAAAACCCATTATCTAAACTACTTGTATCATCAAGTTCTTCTCTGACTGCTCTCTGCATCTTCTTGCTCTAATGAGAATCTGACTCCTTCCTGAGGATACTATTTCCTTTTCATCCCTCTCAAGATGTGAATATTGAACAGACATACCCCCCTTATCTGGAATTAAGATATATGTCATTTGGGTTCCCAGTGCTGTTATAGATCTGTCACTTTTCCTCTTCCTCAAACCCCCTAGTTTTGAATCTCATAATTTCATGTCTTCAGATAGTACTAGCAACTACCTTCCTTGCTGCGGTCGCTTTCAGATTCTTGGATTACTCACTTTCATTCCTTAGAGATTTTGGGTCCAGGCTTGTTGCCATTTTCTTCAATAGTATTTTTGTGATAATTCAAGTGTTTTCAATAACCATGTAGATGATCCTTTCAATACCATGACTTACCAGTTCTTTAACTCTCTTCCCTTTGATTATCTTTTGCTGACTCCACTTCAGCTATTCATTTTTCATTGATAAAACTTGATTTCCTTTACAATCTCAATTTCAAATACCTTATATCTGACACCATTTCCTATTTCTCCACTTCAATCCTTCAAGAATTCTAATTCCCACATTTTTTTTTAAATGGAGGCAGTATTTGCTATCCATTGTTGCTATGTTTCACTTTTCCTTCCCCATAACAACTTTATTATTAAACCAGTTTAGACTCTATGGCCCATGATCATCATCACACTCATCCCTTTTAACATTTATCATACTTACCTGGAAAATTCCAACACTAATAAAAATCTCTACTTATACACACCTGCATTCAAGAAGCTGATCGTTGCAGATGAAAGACTCACAAACATGCTGACAGGTTTCATTTTAAATTTCTGATACTGACAAGAAATGGTCCCTGTTTTATTTTCCTGCTCCATTCACTCTTCCATTACCGTAGATAACTACTTCAAGCTTTCTCTTCCCTTCTTGAACCTCCAAATTTTCCTATAATTTCCTCCTTCTAGACTTAGAATTTTTCTTTGTATTTCACTGAAAAACAAAACAATAAAAACACCTTCTTTTGGCTCTGACTGTCATATCTATGTATCTTTCTGCATCTGTTCCTGAAATCCTTGCCTGCCCACTTATTACTGGGAATGAACCATGTACCCCTAAGGCAGCCCCTTTACTGGGGCTCTATTTCCTTTTCTTTCTCAACTATTCAAGACTCTAGATCCAGGAATAAATCTGTTTCTCATGTGATTAATCTTTTCCTTAAACTAGAAAATAGGGATTCTAGTTTCTAAACAAGTTGCAATATCTACCATACATATATGTTTTATTTATATATACACACACACCATACCATATATATACATATGTATATGTATGTATATGCATAGAGAGCATATATAAATATATTTAAATATATATTTATTTTATATTATATATATTTATATATATTTATATATTTTATATATTTATATTTTACACACACACACACATATATTCCAGTCTATACAGGTACCAAAATAATATTTGTAAAATGTAGATTAGTTCATTTAATCCCCATGCTCAAAATCTTCTCTTGGTTTCATATAGCATTCAGTAAATAAACTATAGTTGTTACATGGCCTACCAGGACTGGCATGACCTGGACTTATCCTGCCCCCCGATCTCTTCTTGATCCACACTTCCCCTGGATGATCCATTCTAGCCACCTGGACACTCCTGATGAGTTTCCACTAGGTAAGTAGGTTTATTCCTCAGGTCCCTTGCACCTGCTGTTCCCTCAGCTTGAAATGCTATTCCCCCACGTAGTCTTAGGGCTTTTTCTCTCACTTTTTTCAGGTCTTTGCACAGGTATCTTCACATCGGTGAAGAATTTTCTAAATACTGTGCTCAAATTACAATCCCTTTGCCGTACCACTCTGTATCTCCTTTCTGTGCTTTTATTTTTCTTATTGCACCTCATTGATTCGCTATCTGACAAACTATGTATTTTATTCTTTGTTGATTGTTGGTCTCCCTTGTATTATAATTTATAATCCATAAGTCAGATATATTTTGTCTTCTTTTTTTCTTTAACTGTTTTATTCACAGCATCTAAAACAACACTTGATATATAGTACATGTTTAATATTCATTAAATAAATAGTTAACATATAAATTTTATGTACATAAATACACAAAATATGACAGTACCAATTAGTTTAAAATTCCCATCTGAGTGTACCAATGATAGTATGGATTACGGCAGATGAGGCTAGAAGAAATACACCGAGAGAAGGGAAATTGCCTCTCTCTTGCTCATGTTACCTAGAAAGCTAATGAGTATCTAGACACGAAAACACAGCTGACTGGAGAGTTTTAATACCACAGAAATCATTAATAGGAAAAAACTTTTCCTCCTTTTAACAAACTGGCTTTGAACTATCAGTAGTGTTTCTCAAAGTGTATTTTATTTTAAAATTCTTGCAGGAGCTTTTACCAAGCATTTTTATGAGTAAGGGTTTCTACTGTTACATAAACTTGAGATATAGGAGGAAAATATTCTATGCTCTGATGATGATTATATTTTAATATCAACTAACAGAACCAAGGAAGGATAATAGATGCAAAGCTTTAGATGATATAAGCTATTTCTCAAATACATGTGAATATGTGCATGTTTTAATATTTATAACATAATAACAGTAATTTTACTATTTTAAATTATATAATTTTACTACTACTACATAATAATAAACTCTATACAAACCTTTCAACTTTCTAATAGTGTAATGCCAGTCTTTGGGGCTGCTACCACTATTCTGTGTGTGTGTTTGTGTTTTTTTAATCCTTTTTTTCCATCCCTCACACAGAGCAATGGACTAGATGTTAAAAAATTTGAATTCTATTCCTGGGCCCTGAATGTACTTAACCCTGTGTCACTCAGCCAGTTCTTAAATGTCTCTAAACCTCAGGTTCTTTAACTTTTGATCAACTCAATTGACGTATGTGAACACCTGCTCTAAAAAAAAAAATGGCAATTTTAATCCCTGCTCCACATTTTTTCATTTATACAGCAAACATTATGAGTGAAGCCCTCACTGTCTCTCTTCTTCAAAGCTGATATGTAAATACTTATAGCAATGTGATAATCTTTGTACTATATATATATAATATATATAATAGTCTATTAAAAAACATGACTTAGATAAAGGTAGTATTCCATAGGGAGGTATGGCAGATACCCAAATATTTACATCTTCTTACTAGATTTTTCTCTACCAGTCCTTCCCTGCAGCAAGTTTATATTTCTCATTGTTGTCGTGCTTGGCTATATGACTGGCTTTGTAAAGAGAAATATCAGTGGAAGTGGTATGTTTCTGTGTCAGCAGAAGCCCATAAGCTCTAAAATATGGTTCCATCATGTCTATTCTCACTTTTTCATGAGACTGCCTTGAACCCGATAAAGGGTACTTCTTCAGTGTTGGTCTCAGATACTGAGTCTGTTCCATCACTCATGCACAGTTGATTTGTGACAGACACAAACGTGAGTACAAAATAAAGTTTTGTTGCAAGCCTCTATAATCTGGGGTTATTTGGTACCACAGGAATGCATAGCCTAAGCTAACTATATAGAACAACTTCAGAGATAGACTGACATTTTAGATGAGATTGGATATTAGTTGTTTACCATGTAGGCCTGGGATTAGTGAAAGAAAAGCTGGAATTCCGGGCAGAGAGCTTAAATGTGCAAAGCTCTGGAGGCCAGAAAGAGTGGTGATTTTGATGATTTACACATGTTTTGGTATGTCTAAATCTGACTTTCTATACATAGAAAAAGGTAAGCTTTGAGAGGTAGGCCAGGGACATATGATGGTCAACTTCATATACTATGTTAAGATCTTCAGACTTTAACAAATGAATTTCAAGTATTTCAGGCCCTGAAAATAACAACATTCATTTTGTTATTGAAAAGACAACATTCTAGCTCCAAGGTAGATGATGGATAGGGACAAGGTGAGAGACCATTTGGGATACACTTGTAATAATTCAACAGAGAAACTGGGAAAACTTGAATTATGGAGGTGACAGTGGTGATAAAAATGAAAGGATAAATTCCAGCGCACTTCCTCATTAGTAAGACTTAATGAGGAATTGGAACGCAGAGGAACAAGTAGAGATAGCAATGGAGGAGCGGAAGGGCAAGGTGCCATATGTTGAAGAACTCTAAATGTGTGTATCTCCCTTTACAAATGTGAGGAGACATCAATTCTACCACACTGTTAATGAGGAAGCATAGGAGTGGGGCAGAGTAAAACAAAATATGAACTTGTTTTTGGTGAGGTTGTTCGATGGCAGAAGGAGAGATATGGTAGCTGAGTGTCAGTTTGCAAGCATTTCATATTCAGAGTTCTCAAATTCCTTGTTCATATTGTCAGTAAGCAGCTGATAAACCACTTTTCACTGGAAACTGTGCCTAAAATCTCGATCCAGGATGACGTCCACTCTTACTGGTTGTTTGATTCCATCTAACTTCATTATTCAGTAAAAAAGTTTCTGTTCATGACTGGAATCATAATGTCGTAGTTCATTCAAGTGGCTATAACAACACACCACGGACTGGGTGGCTTGTAAATAACAAATTTATTTCTTACAATTCTGGAGTCTGAGAAGTCCAAGATCAAGATGGATTCTGTGTCTGGTGAAGGTCTACTTTCTAGTTCACAGATAGTGCATTCTTGCTGCTTCCTCACATGGTGAAAGGAACAGCCAACTTCTCTCAGGCCTCTTTAAAAAAAACAAAAAAATCCCTTTTATTTCAGGTTCGGGGCCCATGTGAAGTTTTATTACATAGGTAAACTCATGGCACAGGGGTTTGTTGCACAGGTTATTTCATAATCCCAGTAACCAATAGTTATCTTTTCTGATCCTCTCCCTCCTTGCACCCTCCAGCTTCAAGTGGACCCCAGAGTCTCTTGTTTCCTTCTCTGTATTCATGAGTTATCATCATTTAGCACACACTTATAAGTGAGAACATGTGGCATTTAGTTTTCTGTTCCTGCTTTAGTTTGCTAATGATAATTGCCTCCAGCTCCACCCATGTTCCTCCAAAAGACTTGATCTTGTTCTTTTTTATGGACGCATAGTTTCCGTAGTGTATACGTAGCAGACTTTCTTTATCCGATCTGTCATTGATAGGCATTTAGGTTTCTTCCATGTCTTTTCTATTGTGAATAGTGCTGCAATGACCATTCATTTACATGTGTCTTTATGATAGAACGATTCATATTCCTCTGGGTATGCACCCAGCAATGTGATTGCTGGGTGGAATGATAGTTCTGCTTTTAGTTCTTTGAGGGATTGCTATACTGCTTTCCACAATGGCTGACCCCATTAATTTACACTCCCACCAACAGTGTAGAAGTGTGTTCCCTTTTCTCTGTAATCTAAACAGCATCTGTTATTTTTTAACTTTTTAATAATAGTAAGGCCTCTTTTATAAGAGCACTAATCACATCTACCAGGGCACCACCCTCATGATCTAATCACCTCCCAAAGGCCTTGATTCCTAATATTACCACGTTTGTGTTTATGTTTTAACCTATGAATGTTGGGGTAACATACACATTCAGATCATAGCAAATCAAGACCAGTGGCACTGCTATTATGACAACCACCATTAGTGAGGCTGTAGTCTACATTGGATATCTGGGTTGTTTTAGACATGTAGAAAAATGTGGCACCTTTGAATTACATGCATTCATATATTATTCAACTTTCCATTGAAATTTATTGGTGGAAGAAAACAAATCAGAAGACAACTTAAAGAAACTGATGCTATAAACTCCTGCTTTCAATGTTTGTTATTAAAGTTGTTGGATTAAGGCTCCGGGAGTATCCAAAGTTGTTTTACTCTTTATTTTTAAACTTTGTGAGGTCACTCACTTCTCTGAACTTCATTCTTTGGTAGTCTCAATTGCGAGTAACAAAAGGGTGTTTGTTTAGGGAAAGGTCTTCATTTTGGCACTGTAGAATAATGCCTGCCTCTTAGTAGATGCTCCATGAAACTTTGTTACATGAATAAATGATAGTCATAATATAAAGTGTTTTAGGTATGTAATGTTCACACTGAAATTTGTTGTATTTGAATATAAGAGGATGAGACAATTTGGAAGAATTTGGTCTATACAAGACATACCATAAGGAATGAAGATGTCTGAGGAAAGATGAAACATTACATCTTTTTGTCATACGTGAAGTAACATGAGGAGAAATTGTCAAGAATGGAGAAGAAGTCAGAACTGCTGGTTGTGCTTTCATTTTACTTTTAAACTAGAGATATTGGTATAAATTTAATTAGCAAACTGAAGGAGAAAAATACTCTACCTCATTGACAAATAGGAAATGAGATATGGATTTACTTTTAACCTTATGCATGAGAGGAAAGCTATCTAAATACTGAGGCGAGTGTAATATGGGGTCTTTCGTGTTCATTAGTTAGAGCCAATAATGGATAAAAGGTCTCAGAAGATATTTGATTTGACATTTAACTTTGAAAAGGAAATTTACCAACAGAGAATTTGCAGGAGAGATGAAGAGAGAAGGTTAGGACTTGGTGAGTTTCAGAGACATAGGGAAAAAGCGTAAAAGATATTGTTTTAAAGAAATAAACGAATTCATGGTGTGATAAAGGCAGGGAACATTGGAGGAAAGACTTGGGAGTTAATAAAGCAGGTGACACTGGGTATACTTCTTCCCTCTGAGTGTCTAGGAAAGAAATTCCCAAGTTGGCACTCACACACCCTCGTCAGTTCAATTCAGTCATATCTGCTTTCCTCTGGTAATTCTCTTTTCCTTTCCACACAGTTAGGAATGCTTTATTTTCCATTTCAACTAGTGCTTCTGTCTTCAGCAGATACTTTATAACTGCCACTTTGGATGGAACTTGCTTTTGTTGTTTTGTTTTGTTTAATTTTCTCCTCTCTGACCTAGATTATGACTCCAGTTTCTGAAGTGGTTTTAATAGAACTCATCTATCCTCATAATTTATTCTAATAAAATATACTCATATGAACTCAGGAATTAGTTCAGAAAAGGACATTCTTCTACTCCAAATGCACTTGGCCTTGTTTGTGCCCTCATTCTTCAGCTAATTCCTAGGGGAATTCAGTCCGATTGGGTAACCTTTGCTGTGCAGGTTACCTCAGTGGACTCTACCGGTCTTTATACTTTTGTGTCCCTCTGAGTGTAGATCAGATTCTCTGCTTAATTACCTGAATGTGGTTTCTGTGGCTTAAACTGTCTGATGTGTTAGTTCAAGCAATGGAAAAAATCAATAGTCTAATCAGTCACCCCATTTCTAATTTTGTTTGTGTTACTTACATTATTCATCACACTCACAAATAATGCTTTTTTTCTTCCTCCTGCCAAAGTAAAAATCAGGTCAAGTTAAGCAAAATAAACAGAGGTGGAAAAAAATAAAAATGTATGTCTTTATTCTTTTAATTTTGGATTTGGAGTTTACAAGACAGAGACAGTATAAGAACACATGAAAATTTATTTCTGTGGAAGTATATGACTCCTCCACATGCACATTGGCTATCTACTCTGTTTGCAATTAAAATAAGCAAAATCAAACTAGAGCTACTCTCAGAGCCAACTTTAAAAGAGAGAGGTGTTAGGATAATAACACCAACCTCCAAGAACTGTTTTTGGTGTTATATGAAGGAGTCTAGAACAAAATGATTGTTCAACAAATGACAGTAAAACAAACCCAAACACGAAACTTGAGAAAGTGTACAAAATGAAGATGTCCTTGGTGATGGGGATAGAGTCTGTAGACAGGAGTCCCTGCTAATTCAAACCTATGACTCATAACTTGGGTTTCCTGCTAAATGGTTACTTCTTGAGTATCTGGGCATTTAGTGGTATCAGTAGATAAGCATGATTTTTGTATGTGTGTATCTTTTTCTGGCTTCATTGTGGTAGGGCTATTGTCGTTGTATAGTTGCTTGTTTATTTATTTATTTTGACCAAGGGAAGCAGTTTTTGTTGCTGTATTGTTTCTTTATTGTTATATTGTTTCTTTGAGACTAGGAGGGTGGAAGAATTCTTCTTGTTTCCCTTACCTGGCTCCAGGTCCTTCAGTTTCTGCCTCTACCTTTCAGTCCTTCCACAAGAAGGGTGGAGGCAGAAACTGAAGAAATTGGTCTTATACAAAATTTTGTGAGAAATGTAAGAAACAGTGCTAACCCTTAGAATCACTAGGAATCACCACCTCAGGCAGAGCATTGCTTTCCCAGGCAATTAACTGGGGTGGCCAACTCAGCACAACTGTGGTAGAAAACTGAAGCTACTCAGTGAGCACTGAAATGCCCAGTGGGCACAGCGGATTTCTAGTGGAGACCTGGCAAAACAGTGTAGTAACCAGATGGCATAGATTCATCATGACCACACATGCGAAATCCTCCGGGGACTATAGGAAATATTTGATAGGGCAGATTATTTTTGCAGTCAGGCATTTTGGGTGAGAAAATGAGAGCCAGAACTGAGCTGGGCTAATTTGTGATGCCCTTCTAGCTATAGACTCCCTTGAAGTCACTTCCAGTGATAAGAGCTAATTTTATGTCTTTTGTTTTGCCCACAGGTTATCACCAAAAGCCATCAGCAACTGCCACATGAGGCAGTCCCTACAAGGAGAGCATTGCCTTCTGGTATATTGTGACAAGCTCATCTGCATGCATGCACGAGTTCATATAGGACTGACATTTTTGAAAGAACACCACAGCTTGAGAAATAGAAAGAAGCTTTAGATCATCCAATCCAGGTGATTTTCACACAAAGTTTGACTGTAAAACTTTTTAGTGAAGATGCTTTTCTACTCAGTATACATTTACTGAGCACATACACATATGTAAATACAGATATGAATAAAATACAGTGCTTATCTTAGAAATGATTCTGTTTAATAAAGGCATCTTTCTCTCTGTCAAACAGACATGTATGTGCACACACACACACACACACACGCGTGCACATGCACCCCACAATGCTCCTTGAATTTATAAATAAAAGGGAGCTATAGAATGGGCAGAGGGGTGAGGGTAGGGGAGATTGAGAAAAGCGTTGCAGGGGAACTGTGAGAAGGAAAGGTTTTCTAGTAACACATATTACTTGACCTGGTATTGGAGGCATGAAAAAATATTTCGAAGGCCGAAATTTAAAAAGAAGTGATTCCAGGCATGAGAGTGGTATGAACAAAGGCAGAAGCCTGATAACATAAAAAATTAGAGAAAATAAATATAGGCCACAATTTACAGACTTAAAGGTCTACTTTAAGGACAGCGTGGGTCCATTTTGACAGGATATTGATAGTTAAAGATGGGCTTTGGGGAGACTGGTCTGGTAACAGGGCCCTTTGCTGGGTAAAGACAGAATTAGAAGAGGAAATGACATTTGTAATGGGAGCATCACCCAATTTTCTCTCTACACAACCCTGTAGTGACTCCTGGGGTGACTTTACAGAAACCAGAGGGTTCCACAGACAGGATTTAAAAGTTCTTTTTCCTTTTTTTTTGAGTCCATCTCTCACATTTCACAACTGAAGGAACCATGGCTTGGAGTTCATGAATAACTTGAGCAAGATCATACAACAATCTATTCTTGAGATTTTGCTTCATAGCACTCAACTATGGATCGGTAGCTGTAAACTGCTTCAAGGCATTTTCTCCTGATTACTTCATACCATAGTGATTTGCTTTTCCTGGAAATAGTCTCAGTTTTTCTTGTAATTACCAGTTCCTTAAGAAAAACAGAGTTCATTAGATTTCATGGACATTAGCAGACCAGCAGGTGTCTATTACAATGTCTATGTATTCTTGATCACTATTATACTTATTGCCATTGTTATTATCATTTGAAGTGCCCAAAATTGTGTGTTTTCAGAGTCATGAAGTGTCTTGACATTTAATTTTTAAGAATTTCATTTAAGAGCCAAAAGTTGCAATTGCATAGTCTAGGAGACATTTAGATGTTAACAACTACTTTTAGAATGAAACACATGGTAATAACTTATTTATATTGAAGGTAAATGCCAAATTACAACATGATGTATCTTTATTAGCATTTTAAATTATCTTCTTAAGTATTAGGAAGGTATCTAGTTTCCTTCATTAACATTTTACCCAGAAGTAATCCATGAACTAGCAGCTTCTATAGTCCTGGCAATCCAGCTACAGCATCCTACATTGATTGAGGTCAGGAAGGTATGGAAGAGGCTGACATGAACAGGAGCATTTCTGAGTTTACTGGCTATTGCTTCAGCCTCTTTTTTATTCTTTGTTTCTCTTCCCTTTAAACATGTTACCCAGATGAGATGATGGTCAGAACTCCCCTAGAATGTTTTAGTGCTTAATTGGGAGTCGTGGAGATATTATTCATTAAATGGAAATATTAAGAGACTTTTTGTTACACTTAACATTTAATAGTGGTTAGTGTTGGGTAGGAGAATAAAAGCTTGCTGATATGGTTTGTCTGTGTCCCCACCCAAATCTCATCTTGAATTGTAGTTCCCATAATCCCCATGTGTTGTGGGAGGGACTCGGTGGGAGGTAATTGAATCATGGGGGCAGTTACCCTCATGCTGTTCTCATGATAGTGAGTGAGTTCTCATGAGATCTGATGGTTTGATGATAGGCTCCTCCGCTCCTTCACTCTGCACTTCTTCCTGCTACCACGTGAAGAAGACATGCTTGCTTCCCCTTCTGCCATGATCGTAAGTTTCCCGAGGCCACCCCAGACCTGCAAAACTGTGAGTCAGTGAAACCTCTTTACTTTATAAATTATCCAGTCTTGGGTATGTCTTTATTAGCAATGTGAGAATGGAGTAATACACTTGTTTCAAGAGTTTCATTGTAATTAACTGCATTAGGACAAACTGGAAGCCAGGTAGCTACCTGCTGTATGTATAAGCAATCGAATCAGCTCATCTTTAATTTTTATTCCCCAGAGAGATCCTAAGAGCTTACCTTGGGTTTTTGGTGACTCACTATTATCCCTTCAGCTCTCCTTTCCTTTAGATTTCTGCCTCTGCTGTCTCAATCCCAAAACTTATTTAAGCTGATTTTTCAACACAATTTTACTCCTGGCTAGTGGACATTGAGATAATTAAGTGAACTTTATCCTTGCAGAAGTATCATTTAAGAAAGAAACTTATAATTTAAAAGTGAAGTTTTGTGACTAAGATGCTTTCAAGACACCAGAGAAAAATTCCTACAGAGGAACTAAGAGTTTTGTGAAACACAGAGAGAGAGACTTTATGGAGAGCCTTTAATGGTAGGCCTCATCCCATGTATAGCCATCTTCCTGTCTAGTAGGTTAATTGTAAAACAAAGAATGAGACTGAACCATGATTTCCTTTTGATGCCTCATTACGTAGTTTTTTCTTTAGCTGAGTCTTCACTTTTATACAGAGCTAGGTGTTGTAGAGTGTTGAAGTAACAAATCAACCCATTTGAGCTTTGGAAGGTACCAATTTGCCTTTGGATATCTTTAATCTGGCTGTATATATACCATTTTCAAAGCATTTCTGCACTTAAACACTATCCAAAACAACATGTGTCAGTTTCTCTAATTACTTATGATTAAGAAAAAAGCAAATTCAGGCCCTCAAGGCATTCATACTTTGCTATTCTACTGGAGAAATGAATGCTGCAGAGCAAAGCAGCTTGAAAATTAATGCGCGGGACAACACAAAACAGCAGTTTGTGATTGCATTTCTTTCCTTCACTGTATTTCAAAAATGTTTTACACAACAGGAAAAGGAGAAAAAAAGAGCAGATGGTTTGAGTTACAAAAGCCATTGAAAACAATGGTGCAAAGACATCTCTGTGCGGTAAAAAACTCATCAAAATTGTCAGTCACTGAGTCTGCAGAAGAGCAAAGGAGAGAATAGATGAGGTGCAGACATTTATAATAGAGCTGTTTTGATGTGGGCCCTAGAAAATGACAGAAACATGGTTTAAAAACTGAGAAGAATGTGTCAAAGGATAGAAGTATACTGTGAAATTTCTCCTTGGAAAGTTAATACAAAAAATAGAGGAAAATATTCATTTTGCAAAAATACAGTGAGATATTTTCCAGATATTTCCTTAAGAAGCAATTAGAAATTTGTTCTTTCCTTAATAAGAACTTCATTGTTATTTAATTAAAATATATTTTTTCTATTTGTAAGAATAGAATAAATTTATTGGAAATTTGGAAGAAGTTTATTGTGTAGATCTCTCAGAAACCAGAAGTACAGAAGTTAATACCAAAAATCAGCCTGGCAGCTGACCCAGAGCAAAATGTAACAAGAAGCTTAACGAGGATAATTAGTTTTACAATCCTTGGAATGAGGACTCCTGACTAATTTTCACTATGTAATTCTTCTGTGCTCAACAAGGTTCCTCTTAATTCAAGAAATGATCTGTGTTGGCTAACAATTACATGTAGGTTTTATTACCTTAGGATTGATCTTACTTTTTTGACATCCTTCACTTTTCCCAATCACTGAAGTACATCCTTACCTGTACAAGGAATCATACTGCATTTTCAGTATGGATTCTGGCCTATGGGTTACCCCATTATCTTGGTCCATTTAAACGGCTATTATAAAACACCATAAACAGGGTAGGTAATAAACAACAGAAATTTATTTCTTATAGTTACAGAGTCTGGGAAGTCCAATATCTAAATACCGGCAGTCAGTGTCTGTTAAGGGCTCACTTTCTGGTTCATAGAAGACATCTAACCGTGTGCTCCCCATGGCAAAAGTGGTCAGGGGTATTTCTTGGACTTATTTTATAAGTGACTTTATTCCATTTCTTAGGGCTCTGTCCCTATGACCTAATTTCCTCCCAAATACCCCACCTCTTAATACAATCACCTTGGGAATTCAGGTTTTGACATAAGAATTTTGAGGGGACACAAACATTCACACCATAGCACCATTGGTGAAAGTAGCTTCTGAAACTTTCTTCTCAAAGGCATTATTTATGTGCCTTCTGAAAATTTTCATGGTTATCATGGGTGATGATCTGTCACTTACACCACAGACTAGGATCTCTGACCATATTCAGACAAATTCACGTGATGGAAGAAAACAAAGTTTAGTTGTAGAAAGTTATCATACTGCAGTCACATGAGACATGATACGTATAAATAGAACCACCACAGGCAGCAGCTAAAGAGTAGGTTTAGTTGTATTACTCAAGCATTGTGATGACTTCCAAGCTTTCAGTCAATGTCATATCTTTTCTTTTTTGAGTAAGGGGATTGAGGCCCAAAAGTAAAATAAATGTGCTGCAAGAAAAACTATGAATTAACATCTGCCAAGTATCAAAGAATGTTGATCGAGACGGAGAAGCAGGACTTGAGGTATAGTGTAATATTGCCAAGAAGTTTAAGTCCAAAAAATTTAAACATAATTATTCTTAAGATACAAAGCAAAGGAGACTGAGAAAATATTGCAGACATCTGAAGGAAATTAATTAAAGTAGCTTATGAAGTTAACTTTGAGTCATTGTGAGTATTTAAATTAAATTTTCTGCAAATAGTTTATCACTCTAAAATAAGGAAGTACTAAACTTAGCAGTAGTACTGTGAGACAAGAATCACATGGCACCGTTCTCCATGTATAGGTGTAGGATTATCCTGGTTTGGGACACAGGAGAAGATCAGAACCTGGAAGAAAAGGATCTCAGAAAACCTGTTTTCCTTTCATCATCCTGACTCCACTATTATACCTGAACTCTATTGTTTTGTATAATAGGTCATGGTCCAGTCATATACAGACCAAACTGAACATTTGGTTTTATTTTATTGAGTCAATTGAGTAGGTTTTCAAAATTCCTTGTAGGGTTCAAATATCCCCAAAGAAAAGGATTCATTAAGGTATTATTATATCAAATAATAATAATGATCCCTAACATTTATATAACACTTATTTGGCAACATTTCAGATACTTTGCAAACATCAGTTCATTTAATTCTCATGAAAACCTGATAGTATTCGAATCAGCCTCATTTTAAAGATGGGGAAACTGAGGCACAAAGAATATAAGGAATTTTGACAAAATTATATAGTTAGCAAGTAGCAGAGAGAGAATTTGAATCCAGGCAGTAGCTGCTAGATTTTATGGTCTTAATATCTGTGCCATAGTGCCTCTCAGGTGTGTAGAAATCTGATATACATTGGCTCTATCACACTGACCCAGATGCTCTGGGTGAGCAAAATCAAATAAGTATTTCTTTCTTTCCCATAATGCATGCAGAATGCCATTCAAAAGGACTAGGTGTGTGACACTTTATATAAATGTAGAATATCCAATTAATATTACTATATTCAACTTGTGTTCTTTGTATAATTTGTGTTCATCGTATCGGTCACAGTTCCAGAAGAAAAGAGAAGCCATTTTTCAGCAGGGTCAGTGAGGAGAGTTCACAAAATAAACTGGAAGAGTTTATGGAAATCTTGAGGGTATCAGCAGCTAACATGCCTATCTGAAGGAACAAGAGAAAGAAAGGCCTTTCCCAGGAGAAGGTAACTCTGTGGAGAAGGTTGTCATAAGCTCAAACCTTCTGTAGAGGAATATGGCCATACAGGAAATTAATAAGAAATTAACTTCCACTGAATCACTTGACACTGGTTGCTGTTGGTCAAACACAACCAGGTATCAAAAGACCAGAGATCTTGTTGGTGCAGCCATTTAGGTCACCTTATCAAGGCACACGGCAGCGTGAGTACAGAAGAGGAGGACATGGATCTGTAAGTGCAAATGGAAGATACCTTATGTACTTTGGAGGCCTCTTGTCTGCTTGATTTTCTAGCATCAGAGATATTTCTTATGTATATGACCAGATACGCAGCTTCATGCAGTGGAAGACAGAAACTTCCTTCTATTCCTTTTCTTGCTTTATTCACGAAAGATAGAAACTTCCTTCTATTCCTTTTGTGCTTTATTCATGTAAAATTTACACTGGCCCTTTAATGCCCAGCTGAAATGGCAGCTTTATGGTACTTGTTCCCCGATGTTCCCAACCAAATGTGATTTTTGTCCCCTTCCAATTCCATACAACATTGTCTTTGAACTTCCCCTGAAGCACTCATCCTGCCTCTTTTTAGTAAAGCTAGGTGCCTATTCACAGATGCCCCCACACACCTCCCCACCTCATTCCACAGAATGCTGAGTACACCCTCTAATTAATCATAATGCTAAGCACAGATTCCAACACAAAACATGGCAATACACACCAGTTGAGTTTTCCCTTTATTCTCATTCCTGTTGATGCTTGCTTTCTTCTTTTCTTGGTTTTTTTTTTGGTTTTTTTTTTTTTTTTTGAGACGGAGTCTCGCTCTGTCGCCCAGGCTGGAGTGCAGTGGCCGGATCTCAGCTCACTACAAGCTCCGCCTCCCGGGTTCACGCCATTCTCCTGCCTCAGCCTCCCGAGTTGCTGGGACTACAGGCGCCCGCCACCACGCCTGGCTAATTTTTTGTATTTTATAGTAGAGACGGGGTTTCACCGGGTTAGCCAGGATGGTCTCGATCTCATGACCTTGTGATCCACCCATCTCGGCCTCCCAAAGTGCTGGGATTACAGGCTTGAGCCACCGCGCCCGGCCTCTTTTCTTGTAACTTCTTCAGTATGCTTAACTACTTTCCAGAAATCTGCTGGTTCTAAAAAGCTTTATGAAT